AAGATTCTGCACTATAATTTTACAATAAAATTTTACAATATTGGTCTACATGACTTTGGTTTCCTTATCTGGTCTACCTTGAAGGACTGACACATCCTGTCATATATCCCCAGCCTATTATAATCAAAACCCATGGGCATATCATGACAGAGTCTGTTTTAAGATGATATGCAAGAATAGGGTCAGAGAAGGGCCTACCATATTAGGCATGTAAAAGGCATACATTTACACAAATCCCTGAGTTTTCAAGTAACTTAACCATAAGGAGCCAAAACCCTGGGAGACAGATGCAAGAAAGTATCTTTTATTTGCATGTACAGGTACAGTGATTACTGGGCTCCTTGCCAAAAGAATATAGAATTGCCCCAAAACCCACAACGTTATAGGTTATACCTCTGCAAATGATAACAAGACTTACAAAAGCAGTGCTAAATTACTGCAGGAACAAAGAACCTGATAACAGCTACACTGAGTGACCTTATTACAGGCTGACCTACCCAGTGCCTCTATCTTCTGTTTGTCAGTGTTCAGAGGTGGTATTCAGCAGGTTTTGACCAGTTCTGGAGAACCGGTAGCTGAAATTTTGAGTAGTTTGGAATAGCACCTCTGACTGGCCCCACCCACAGCTATTCTCTGCCTCCCAAGTCCCAGCTGATCGGCTGGGTCTTCTTTTGTTGCCCTGCACAGGAGAGCGGAACTGGAAAGCAGGTTAGCGGGATGGGGAGAGAATGGGGATTTTACAATATCCTTTCCCTGGAGTGGGGTGGGAATGCAGATTTTGCAGTATCCTTCCCTTGCCACTCTCACTAAGCCATGCCACACCCACCAAGCCACACCTACAGAACCGATAGTAAAAAAATTTGAATCCCACCGCTGTCAGGTTCCATGTGATACAGCCATAGCAAACACACCCTATATAATACTCTCCTTCCCTATCCCTCAGCACCATTGTGACAACACGGAAGCCTCCAAGATGGCCTCAGTCAGGCCAGCTTCAGAACTGACACTGTTCTTCCAAAGAAATTCCAAGCACACCCTTTCTACTGATACTAGCACCTTATAGCATTAAAAAATGTCCTTTATTTTATCCATAGATGGACTTTCCACCCACCACAGAAAAGACAACGAGCTGGGTTTAGTTATTTGATTCTTTTCTGGGGTCATCATACAATTTTCATTTGTATGTTTTTCCTAATACTTTGGCATCACATATATAAAGATAGAATATTATTTATCCCCAGGAATTGGAAAAAGTTATAGTCTTATTCTTTAAGGAGGTGACTGAAGCCAATTCAACATCCCAAGAGAAAATCTTTTCTTTCTGATATTTTGCTATCCCACATAGACCAATAGTAGGATGAAACAGGATGCCTTTGATCACAGTAATCTGATAATACTGTGGGGTATTCTAGAAATTCTGTGGTGCCCGAGAAATCTTTGTTTTCAGCTGTACAGGATATTCAAGACACTCATTTCTGACTTTAGAGAAATGACATTCAATTTCAACCTCCCAGCCAGGGTTACTATCAAGCATCAGCTCAAGTCCACTGGTGGAAAGTCCCACTGAGAACGACCACTGAGGCATAGTTCCCATCAAACATGTTCACAGCTATAAAAGGTATACGAAGGGGGTCCTGCATTCAATGAGCTTCTATACTGTTTGCGATGATGACCCAGAAAATAGGAATGCTAGAGACGTTAGAGCAGAGGTCTCCAAACTTGGCAACTTTAACTCTTGTGGGCTTCAACTCCCAGAACTCCTCAGCCAGATTGGCTGTCTGAAGAATTCTGGGAGTTGAAGTCCACAAGACTTAAAGTTGCCAGGTTTGGGGACCCTGCGTTAGAGGCTGGGCTTGCACAAACATAGATTTTGTGAATGGTACAAGGACATGGCATAGTGTTGCTTACATGTGGTGCTGAACTTATTCAGGAACACTTCCTGAATGGAAGTAATGAGGCATTGTCAGCTTGGGAGAATTTATGTATTATTTATATATTATTTCCTTTGTCAGAGCAACCAAATGCCCAAGTGTATATAAAAAAAGGAACATATATTAATTTTTCCATTTGCTTCACTTAATATTCAAACAGATGGTTCAAAAGCTAGCTACATGTCTCAGTGAATGGTGACAGCATTCGGTCAGTCAGAACAGATTTTGTTTGGCCATGAGGCTTTTTTTTTTTTTTTTACAAAATAAATAGTTTTGTGGCATGCTATACCTTACCTGGAATATCTAGGCAAGCAAATTTATACAGGAGAGCATTGCAAAAGGTTTGTTTGTTTTCCTCCAGTAGGACTCAGAGTGAACCATGGAAAGGCTACACTGGCTTCCACAGCATTACATTTTTTCGTTTCATGCTTCCAAGACAGTTTGAAGAATATTTTCCTAATCAAAATACTCAAGGAAAGGAATTACTCCCTCTACTTTGTCACGTGGCCCTAATCCCAGTGCTCCCTGCCAAGATTTAGAAATCTGTTACTCGAAACAAACTGCCCAATTATTACAAACGTGTTTCTCTTTTTTCCTCCTTTTTCCTTTTTGAATTGAGCTTGATAATTTTAATATTTTTTTAATACTCTGTGATCTATTTTGAAAAATCCTTCACAGAAGCAGATATAAACCTAACATGATGTGACTTCTTCCTAATAGAAAATGCCTAAAGTGAAAGATTATCCAACGATTTGTCCAATACATTTACAACACAATGCCAATTTTAAAGCACTGATGTTGTATATCAGTCCTTTACAGCTGAATTTTGTACCTTGTTATTACTTTAAAATGACTAACATAGAATAGACAGACCTTTGCTCCCTGGTGCAAAATGCAGTGGTCGGCACATAGTACATGCCACAACGCTTTCATCATCTAGGACAGAATTTCTAACTCATCTATTTTTAGGGTGTCCTGGCTTTGCGGGGCTTATTGGACCATAAACAAGATTTTATGAGCCTGGCCGTATTTCTCCTAATACAAATTTTTGAACCAAGAATAAAGCACATATAAACATTCTTAGCTTTAAAAAAGTTTCTTTAAAAATCTCCTTTGTCCTTCCTATGGCGGCAGAAAGTTTGCCTCCTAGCCAATTCAAACTATTGCTTTAGGAAACATAAATAATTGTCAAACACTTTTTCACACAATAATTGACTTTAGTTCGTGTAAAGTATACCACTTCATAGACATTATACCTGAGCTGCATCAGAGGTTGTACTCAGCTGGTTCTGACCAGTTCTGGAGAACCAGTAGCAGAAATTTTGAGTAGTCAGAGAACTGGCAAATAGCACCTCTGACTGGTCCGCCTCCATCTATTCTCTGCCTCCCTTGTCCCAGCTGATCGGCTGGGTCTTCTTTTGTTGCCCTGCATAGGAGAACGGAACTGGAAAGCAGGTTGGTGGGGTGGAGAGGAAATGGAGATTTAGCAGTAACCTTCCTCTGGAGTGGAGAGGGAATGGAGATTTTGCAGTATCCTTTCCCTGCCATGCCCAGCAAGCCATGCCATGCTCACCAAGCCACCAAGAACCAGTAGTAAAAAAAAATTGAATCCCACCACTGAGCTTCATATAAGGCATACTGCCATTATTAAATTGAGTTTTAGAGACCTTAAATGTGTTTCAGTGTATCATTTGCAGAGAGGTAACTGTATATAAATTTTAATATTATACAGAGGGTCATGGGGAAATGGCACAAGCAAAACTTTCCAAGAAGAAGAAACAGGCATCAACATTATTGCAACAGAAGACAGTGATGGCTTTATTTCCTGTCTAAATAGCAGCTTTGGAACATTCTATTTTCACAAGGAAATACTTTAAGACTTTGATGCTATATTCTCAAACTATTGCTTACATGCCCAAAAATTACAAGTAAAGAAATATGTTGATTACACAGAAATGTATTTGTTGCATTTAACACACATAAGGAAATAAATCTTTACCTCCTCCTCATAATTTTGTATTTTCCATCCCGAACATTTACAAGTGGGTCAGAAGTTACTAATGTTCTTCACTGAAATATACAAATTGCTTGCAAGTAATAGGAGTTATTACATATTTTATGGAATTAAACTTTATAAATTCTAATAACAGAATTCTAATAATCTTACAACGGTTCATTTAATGACCACTCAGTTACAATGGCACTGAAAAAAGAGTTACGACTGTTTTTCACAGTTATGACCGTTGCAGCGTCCCCGTGGTGATGTGATCAAAATTCAGGCATTTGCCAAGTGACTTAGATTTATGATGGTTGCAATGTCCAAGGGTCATGTGATCACTTTTTGCAACCTTCTGACAAGCAAGGTCAATGGGGAAGCCAGATTCACTTAACAACTGTGTTACTAACTTAACTGCAGAGATTCACTTAACAACCATGGCAAAAAAGGTCATAAAATGGTACAAAACTCACTTAACAAATGTCTCACTTAGTAAGAGAAATTTTGGACTCAATTGTGGTCGTAAATTGAAGATTACCTGTATTTCTCCCAGTGATAACTGCAAGGAAAATCCATGGTCACAGGCCAAAATGTTCTGTATTTTTGTGCTATAATTTTTTATAGTCATGCAAGCTTCTGTTCTGATTAAATTCCTATTTTAAAAAAGCAGGCATAATAGATAAACCACTAGCTTGTTGTACTAGTTAATGTATCAGACTAGAAATCTCAAGGCAGATCACAAATTCTAATCATGCCTTTGGCACAAAGCCAGCTGGGTGACTTTGTTTCCAGTTACACTCACTCTCTGTCTCTCTGTCTCTCTCAGCAGGTAAGGGGAAACCACTTCCAAAAAAATCTTGCAAGAAAACTTCAGGGATTAATCCAAGCAATCAGCAGGAGCTAAAGGCACATACACACATAAAGAGTGCAAATTCACAATAAATTTTACAAATAGAACTGCTATCCCATTCATAGTTATTTGGGAGTCAGGTCTGTGTTTCAGGGTATTAAAAGTGGCCTGAGGTCAAAATATTCATTTTCTCTTATGATTTTCCATCCCCTGACAAACTTGCAAGCCTTAATCTGTCAGTTTCTCAGGGGCATTAGCAGGGGTGATAAACCAGGCAAGGTGGCAAGCGATGTGATGGAAGTCCTGCCCCTTTTTGCATACAGTGTCATGCCCAACTTCCCCCTTCCAAGTGCTTTATAAATGACATCATCCAGGATTGTCTGCAGGAAGGAGGTCAAAAAAGTCAAGATAGCAGGCCCACTCATGCAATCAACCAAGTTGCTGAACAGGGAGGTGGGTATCATATATAATAAACAAACTTTTTTTACATGTGCCACAATATACATGAAAAGATATACAGTCACTTTGGATAGTGAGATGGGTGTCATATAAAACCTGTGGGGAGGTGTATGTGTGTGTGTGTTGTACAGAGAGAGAGAGAGAGAGAAAGAGAGAGAGAGAGAGAAAGAGAGAGAGAGAGAGAGAAAGAGAGAGAGAGAGAGACACAGAGAGAATTAGAACAGGGGTGTCAAACTCAATTTAATTGAGGACCACATCAAGGCTGTGTTTGATCTCAGGGAAGTAGGGGACATGGCCAGCTTGATGTCACTTGTGTCAGGGGGTGGCTGTGGTAATCCAAGCATTGTGCCAGCAAAAATGGGCTCCTGGGCTCTGTTTTTGGCTGGGACTGCCTCCTGCCAGCAAAAATGGAACTTGGGAGGCTGTGCATGGCCCTCCCCAGCTCCGTTTTCTCTGGCAGAGGCACCACAGGCCAGTCCTTCGCTGTTTCCAGGTTGGCCCTGCTGGCCAGAACTAAGCCCCTCCCACAGGCTGGATTCAGCCCATGGGCCTGAGTTTTGACACCCCTGAATTAGAGTTGGAAGGTACTCTGGAGGTCTTCTAGTCCAACCCTCTGCTTAGGCAGGAAACCCTGTACTATTTCAGATGAATGGTTGTCCAATCCTTCTTAAAAACTTCCAGTTTTGGAGTATTCACAGTTTCTGGAGGCAAGTCATCCCATTAATTACTGTCAGGAAATTTATCCTTAAGTTCTAGATTGCTTCTCTCCTTGATTAGTTTCCACCACTGCTTCTTGTCCTGCCCTCAGGTGCTTTGGAGCATAGCTTGACTCCCTCTTCTTTGTGGCAGCACCTGAGATTTTGGAACACTAGTCGAACTTACAATCATTTGGTTAGTGACTATTCAAAGTTAAAACGGCACTGAAAAAAAGTGACTTGTTTTAAATTGTCACACCTATTCACTTAACAACTGCAGTGCTCCACTTAACTACCATGGTGTAAAAAAGATCATAATATTAGGCACAAGTCAATTAACAACCACTTCACTTATAAAAGGACTCCGTATATACACATACACCTACATATTAACCAAGAAAGCTGGGTTCATATAATGTAACCAAAATGAAATTTATAGTGCATTTTAAAGGACATTCTATCATTTAATTGCTTTTTTTTTTTGGTAACCCATTGTGGCCTTTTCCATGGAAGAAAAAAAAAAGCTGTCTTTTCAGAAGTTTGTATTTGCATGAATGTAAGAGGCATTTTCCATTTCTTTAATTGCCTCAACTTATTAACCATGGCTGTTCACTTTAATTGTTTGTCATTACAGTAGCAGATGTGTTTAAGTGACACTTCAGCACAAACAAAACCCAGTGAACTTGGTGCTTGTTTTATCTTTATTTTATACAAGATGTTCATTCTTTAGGGATTCCTGAAACCTCTTTCAAGCCAGTTCTACTTCATTTCTTCCATTATTACATTTCAGTTGCCTTTGCTGTTAAGCTTGAACTCTATATATGAAGTGGCAGAAAAGATTTAATGGTTTTATCTGTAATAACCAAAAGGCTACCATCTGCAAATGGAAATGTTGTTATTGTTAGAGGCATTTCTGATGTCTACAGTTCTCAGAACTACGGCCTTGAATTTCTGCTGGCACCTCTTTTAATCTGAGTGAAGCCTTAACAATATATTTATTTTAAGATCCATTCTTCATTCATGTTGTTTACATAAGCAAAATCTCCTCTCAACATACTTTCACACTGGCCCCTCATCTTTGAATTCAATCCGTATTCGTTCCTCAGACATTCATTCTTGATCTTACTTCTCCTTGGATTACCATATACATTACCTTAGTATTTTCTCCTAAAGAGGTAGTTCTCAAGTTAGGACTACAATTGAGCCCCAAATGTATGTTGCTAAATGAAACATTTGCTAAGTGAGTCTTGCCCTTTTTTTTCTTGCCATAGTTATTAAGTGAATCATTGCATTTGTTAACTTATAGTAGTAACATGGTTGTTAAGTGAGTCTGGCTTCCCCATTCACTTTGCAATGTTAGAAGGTCACAAAAGGTGATTACGTGACCCCAGGAGGCTACAACCATCATAAATATGAACCGGTTACCAAGTATATGAATTTTGATTATGTGACCATGGGGATGCTGCAATGGTTGTAAGTGTGAAAAATGCTCATAAGTCACTATTTTCAGTGCCGTTGTAACTTTGAACGGTCACTAGATGAACTATTGTAAGTCGCAGAGCATTTGTACACAGCACTTTAGGCATTTCTTGACATACTAACTCTTATTTCCATACAACTGGGGCGGTGGAAATATGCTCTTTTACATTACCATTTTGATTCTTTCAATATATGTTCATTTCCCATGTTACCCACTTCCTGTTGCATCAGTATTTACATGTCTTAAGATTTGTCCAAATATTTTTCCATCTTTCGTAAACATTCTGTTACCTTTATCTGCTCGCTTCAGCTTTTTGCCATTCATCTCTAACTTGCTATTGTCCATTTCCCTGTCGAATACAATTAATCTTCGATACATTAATCGGTCGAACCCTATTCCTCACTGCATTGTGCAATCTGTTTAACATTCACTTCAAATAATTTCCATTCTCAGCCAACAACATGGCACCCAATGGGAGCTGATTTTGATTGTAACAATCTGGACAGTAAAGTGTAACTAGGTAAATAATAAACGTCTCCATGCAAAGCTACACATGCACCATAAGCCACAATGTGGCTGAAAGGCTGTTATACAAGAAGCAATCTTACTTGGCCCCTATGATCTAGTTTCTCAGACAGGATCTTTTATCTGGATTTCTGCAAAGAAATGTCCCTGGAAGCCACCAAAAGCATCACTAGCTATATCCCCTCCACTGTCCCAAAATCTCACCTGATACCACACCCAAGACCCAGGTGAGCACATTTACAAGAGGGGAACCATCATCACTGGTCAGTCTAGCCAGCCAGATCTATGTAGTATATTCCTGGTCTATTGTTTCTCACATTTGTGATTATGAGGGACTACCAAAGCTGCCATGACCAGACCTCAGGGCTGAGCAAGGGATCTGTAACATGGCCACCATGAAACAGTACCAAACACTAAGGCTGCCTTCAATGTGAGCAGCTGTTTCTCCCATTCCAGTCTTATACGGTGCATTTTCTTCATGATCTGCTTATTGCAGCCAACAACCAACCACAACTCCATACTTGTGCAAAGCATTGCTAAGACTAGATAGTTTTTCTAAATTAGCATACATCCAATACACTTTATTTTTTTATATTATTCATATTTTTCATTCTTCTTAGTAAATAATCTATTTAATAACTTGTTCCAAGCTTTCTACCACTACCTGATTCAAGATGGAACTTAGTGCGTGTATACGTGGGCGCAGATTTGTCTGAACTTGTCCAATGAGAAAAAGGTTAGGTCGGAAAGACCTATGTAATATATATAAAAACTTGTTTTGTTTGTAATCAATCAATATAAAATGTCAAGCTATCTGTTTGGTAAAACATTTGGTCAGCTTGCTCACCTCCAATATTGTACTATGAAGAATGCTATGTTCAGTTTACCCTGTTTTACAAACATTAGCAAACAAAATTGTGAAATTCAGTGATAATGGAAAAGACCTTTATAAAGTTGATTGCTTTATTTATAGCAAAGTTTGCATTCTACTATTAAAACTTCATTTGTTTTCTCATCAATGATAGATTTTTGTTGCAATTATCATTCCTTTCCAGTATTCAGTCATTTCTATGATTATTCTGGAATTTTTTCCTAGGTTAAAGGTTACCTTCAAAGTAATCAGCTGTGTGTTACAATTAAATGTCCTTACTTTCTCTTTTATTGAAAGCTTTTAAAAATTAATGTATTTTATTATTTTTATAAATAACAAGATGTTAATATACTGCTTCCTCTTCCTATTTTTAGTTGCTTCTATTTTTAGTTCCTCTCTTATTAAGTTGCTACTGAAAGATGGTTTAATTGAAGAATTGTACCATATATTATAAAATGTATAGTACAGTAACTTGAAAAGGAACCTGAACTTAGTTCAATTACCTTTTAACTTAAAAAGAGCTTATTATAGATATTGCTTACATTCCTTATTTATAATTTATACAGATAATCAGAGTTGGAAGGGACCCTATAGGTCATCTAGTCCAACCCCCCGCCCAAGCGGGAGACCCTACGCCATTTCTGACAAATGGCAACCCAATCTCTTGAAGGTCTCAAGTGATGGCGCTCCAACAACTTCCGAGGGCAAGCTGTTCCATTGGTTGATTGTTCTGACAGAAAGTTTCTCCTTATTTCCAATTTGTTCTGATTTATTGTTAAATTTAAAATTGATTTAATATTGCCTCCAGAGGAATACTTACATTAGTCTTTTGCAGAAAAAAATACAAAGAGTTTCATAGAATCTTAAAAATTAACACGTTTATTTTTAGTCTTTAGGGTGCCACAAGTCTCTTTGGGTTTTTGTTCATACTGTTATAAATTGCATTCTGTAGAGGACAGATTGCAGTCTCACTGGCTGGCAAAGAAAAACATGAAAATTAATAACATTTATAAATGAAGTGGGATTATGCTGATACTAGGTAACAATTCATCATTTTATATAGAGAGCCAGTGTTGTATGATGGTTACAACATTGAAACAGGAATGGAGAGACCCATTCTTAGTCATGAAACTTATTGGGGGACTTGGAATCAATCCTAATTCGGAATATAACCTATCTCCCAATGTTGTTGTAGGAACAAAACAAAAGGAGATTTCCATGAGAAGCAGCCAAGTCTAATATGAATTTACACTTGATGAATATGAATCTAATATGAAACTAATAAATAAAAATAATAATGGTTATTGAAAAAAATTATAAAATTGAATAGCTATTAAATTATGTCGATTCATTTGAAGAATTAAATGCAAAAATGTCTTAAATTGTGTTTAAATATAATCTCATGCACACAAATAAATATTATACTCATTTGAAACAAATCCTTAAAGTGCTAAGTCATTATAGCAGTAGCAATAGCACTTAGACTTATATACCACTTCACAGTTCTTTACAACCCACTCTAAGCGGTTTACAAAGTCAGCATATTGCCCACAACAATTTGGGTCCTCATTTTATCCACCTCAGAAGGATGGAAGGCTGAATCAACCTTGAGCCTGGTGAGATTTGAACTGCCAAATTGCAGGCAGCCGGCAGGCAGCAGAAGTAGCCTGCAGTACTGTACCCTAACCACTGCACCACTGTGGCTCATTATAGTTTTAGACATTTGTCCTTCTGAGTCTTGTTGAGATCATTATTTTGGATATTCATGGTCCTTTCTTCCTTCTTTTCATGTGGAAGACTCGTACTGGAGCTGATTTGATCATTGTTTCCGGATTATCTGGACAAAGGATATAGTTGTGTGAGCTTCATCATTGCAGGGGAAAGCATTCTAAATCAATACTAATGTAATAGCTTTATAGATCTTGGACTACGTTGGAGCCAGCATGGTCCTAGCTCTTCTATTTCACTTTAAGCCACATATTTCATCCCTCCAAAATTATTAAAAGGAAAAGATTTGTGAAGCCCAATGCTACCTGCTTTATTTATTTATATCAACAGCGCAGCACATTGTTAGCCAAATGGAATGAGGCCATAATCATCCTTTTCCATAAGAATAAAGGAGTATGTTTAATCCTGCCGGTAACGGATCTAGTAGCTTGCTTAGTACAATAAACAAGCTATATGCAAAATAGATTTATTTCAAGCTATTAGATTGGATCCAGAATAAAAAAAATATCCTTGCTGAGGAGCAGGCAGAATTTAGAGGGGAGGGTTCAACCTTAGATTACTCTCTCTGGTCCTACACCAGTTAGCTGAACAATACACCTTACTGCCAAAACCACTTTTTTTTTGGTAACTTTCATGGACTTCAGAACAGTCTTTGATTCCAAAAAAGACGCAATGGGGAAAAAATGCACAACTAGATAAAAGATTATTTCTTCTTATCTTTCTACAAACACTTTGTCATCAGCCTTGGGAACATCTTTTTGGAACTGTTCCCACTCAAAAGATCAGGGCAAGGATGCACTCTAATCCTCATATTTCTCAATCTGTGTATTAGTTCACTAATGAAGGTTCCCGTGTCATCTGCTCACCACTCTCCAATGTTGGTAGATGGTGCAATTCCAGCTTTCTTATTTGCAGGTGATGAAGTAATTTTGTCTGTCTCCAAAGTGGAAATGAGAAGGACACTGAAGCCATAGGCTTCTTTAGCCTAAAAAAAAAAAAAAACTTGCAATAAATTATCAAGTGTTAATTTTTGCACAACACAATGAGAGCATGCCTACATGGCAAATTAACAGGTAGCAGAAGCATAATTGTAAATATCTTTGGGTGTGGTTCCAGGCATCCTTGGACTACCCATTTGTCCCATTGGACGTCCTCAGCTGTTTTGAGATTGTGTGTGGGTTGTTTTTTTTCATTCAAAGAGAGCATTGTATTTCCACAGCTTTAAGTTTAATACCCCAGAAGCTTCCCAGTCCAAGTTTACAAGTTCTCTCCTTACAGTTTTGAGATGCATCGAGAATGGTTAAAACCAGGTTTGGTTTCTTGAGTGGCCTAACTCTGGAACTATCCCAGTAATTTCTGGTGATTTTTTTCCCCCATGTGGATCTGGCCCCACTGGTTCTCATAGACTACTTCTAATCAACCTGGCTAACACATATAGCAAGCTCAGACTTTAGGTCTCTCTGTGGAAACTGACTGGCCATAAGGATTTGAAAATGCCAGGAGTTGTCATAAGCACCGTATCTGGAATATTGATTTCCAAACCAATATAAGGTTAGTATCCAATCCCATAGGCAAAGGGTGTCAAATTCGAGGCCTGGGGGCTGGATCTGTCCTACGGAGTGCTTAGATCTGGCCTGCGGGGCTGCCCTGGAAATAGTGAAGGACCTCCACGGTGCCTCTGCCAGTGAAAACGGAGCTCGGGAGGACCACTCACAGCCTTCCTGAGCTCCGTTTTCACTGGCAGAGGATTGCAGGAGGCCATTGCAGCTGAAAATGGAGCTCAGGAGCCCGTTTCGCTGGAAGAGCGCTTGGGCCATCACAGGTGCGCCCAACACAATGCAAAGCTTGATGTCAGCTTGATGTCAAGCTGGCCATGCCCACTCTGGCCACACCCACCCTGGCCCCCTGAGGTCAAACACATGAAATTGAGTTTGACACCCCTGCCATAATCCATGGGTTTTTTTTTCTTCAAATGGGAATGTGCCATCATCCTATCACTTGTCCATTCTAACTCTGAAATTTCACTAGGCCTTTCTTCACCTTGTCCAGGTTGGACACACTATCCTCCCATAAACCTGTGGGGGTCCCCCAGAAACAGCACATATGCCTGTCTGGAGACAGCTCCCTGAAGTACCCCAGTTCAGGGGTGGGGATTCAACCAGCATTACTACCAGTTCGGTATTTGCATTTTGCTGCGCGCGCATGTACTACACCATTATCTGAGCCACCGGGACAGCTGATAAGTGCTGAGCGTGGGTGCACAGTGTTTCAAAAGCACTTTTTTACTGATTTTTCAACCTCAGCTGTGCCACGCAAAGCAGCTGAGGTTGAAGAAGCAGGAAATAAAGGTCAGACGGGCAGGTGGGCCAAACTGGTTCTGTGTCTGCTGCTTTTCAGAGCTACCGGTTCTATAGAGCCGGGCACAACTGGTAGCATCCCACCCCTGCCTCAGTTCCTTTGTTGCTCTCTTTATAGGACATTTTGTCTGACATTCATCTATCCCATTTTAAAGAAATACTCAGGCAAAGAGCATGAAGCATATTTGTTGCATTTTCTATCTGACTGGGGCTCTAACATATCTTTCCAGATTTCCATCTTATGTGCCTCTGTTTTTCTATTCCTACCAACTACAATTGAAGATTAGTGCGAGTGGTGATAGCCGGTGATAGTAGTATTTTTTATATTAATATGATAATGTTATTTTTTGCATTTTATGCCTTAAATGTATGGGTTTCTATATTGTATTTTCTGACATAAAGGCCATAATAAAAGTTTGTTGTTCATCTTTGAAGTTGCTGACATATAGACATGTGGGGAGGAGGGGAGAGAGAAAGAACATACTGTTTAATATGCATCAGTTAGCTAACATTTCATCTAGCAGCTCTACACAGTAATAAGATTATTTCTATGTCATCAGTTATAACAGCTTATAACTAATTTGCACTTTTTTAAAAGGCTCTCTAGTTTGTAGTATGTGCTAATAAAACAGGTCACATTACAGGCACATTACAGCTTTTATATTATTTGCTTGTTTGTTTGTTTGTTTATATCCTGCCTTATTACTTTTATAACTAACTCAAGGCAGCAAACATACACAATATTCCTTCCTCCTCTTCCTAGATACCCCACGACAACAACCGTGTGAGGTGAATTGGGCTAAGAAAGAGTGACTTGCCTAACATCGCCTAGTCAGCTTTCAAAATATAATGCTAAACTACAGAAAAAAGGAGCAAAAAGTTAAATATAAAGGATATAAAGTTTTACAGGGATAGCTATATATATAACTATCAATTATTCCCTGTTTCCATAGATCAGACTATAGCAGCTGATTCCATATCCTAGTGAAATTCAGTGAGTCCAATATATGTTAAGTGTGAAAGACTCCTGGATCCAAATAGTTATTCTACCTATGTTTGATTTGGATTTCAGCTTTTAAGCTCTGCATAATGTTTTGCTTTTGGGAAATAACTTGAAAACCTAATGATAGGCCTTGAAGGCAGTTCATTATTGATTTATTTTGACATAGAAGTGCAAGCAGAATCATTAAAGTGGTATTAACTGTATTAAGCCAAATAAAAGGCTGCAGAATTACACAGATATTTCTACCAACTGAAGGTATTCCTCCCTTGGCTGGAACTGGGCAGCTTTAGGCAGATTTGGAATTCATCCAAAAACGCTCAGATTGTTCCAGAGTAAATTTGACTCCCCTTGAAGCTTTCAGAGAACTTTAGTGAAATGTAACACATAAAGAGTGTGTGTGATATACCTCCTTTTTTCTCCTCCCCCACCAGAAAATGTACCTGGAGTAGTGCTATTTGAAAGAATTGTTCCCATCCCAAAAATTCATTTTCTCAGGGAATCATTCCATTCACAGTTTTTTGTCTATATAAATTTAGACAAAACACACCAGAGGCAATTCCTACCTGTCTGTGTATTTTGTAATTAGAATATAGTTTCACATATGGTTAGAATTTGTTTAACTATTTTTGTTTAAATAAAAGCAATTGGGAGGCTCACAAAATATGATAAGCCATATGGCCTCCAAATTTCCATGACTCCTTCATATGCCCCATTGCATCAAGACCAAATTAATGGTGCAATCCTGTATCTGTGGCAACAACCAACTGCAGTACTGAGCCATTCCAGAATGATACTATTCAAGTGCCAGGTGATATCTGTTATTCAATGAACTGCTAATGAGAGCCCCACCCCACCCCCCACCCCAAGCAGGTGTTGAACACACACAAATACCAATCAGCATTTTCAGTCTGGCTGCTGACAGAGGGAGGGCACTTGTGTGTTTCCTAATGGTGCTGGGCAGTAACTTACAATAGAGAGTTGTGCGTGAGCTGCAATTTATAGCTGGGGGTGACAGGAAGAACTGGTCTAACTACTTTGGCTTCTCCTTTTCTGCAGCTTAAAGCCTAATGATGAACTTGGCTCTCCTACGTTAAATAAAAGAGCACCTCAAAGCATATTAAGGCAAAATTATAATTTCAATTATAATTTCAAAAAAGGCAACTATGATCTTATAAACAACGATCTCTCATCCCTTGATTGGCAATCTCTATTCACTGGATGCAATACTGTTGAAGACCATTACAACATATTTTTACTTGAAGTCAAAAGAGTCATCAAACTATACGTACCAACAACAACTCCCAAAACAAAACAAAAAAACAGATTGCCCATAACAATAAGGAAACTTCAATCCAAAAAGAGATCACTCTGGCGGAAAAACAAATCTGGTCACGTTGCCAATTTCAAAAGCCGATACAAAAATTTATGCCACCAAATAAAGACCGAATGCACCAATTATCACATTAAACAAGAGGAAAACCTTCTAAGCACCAATTCCACCAGTGCTTTTTACAATTTTGTAAACAACAAACTAAAAGATTCAAGGTCCATCCCACCCCTGATAGGACCTAATGGTAAAGACTGCAACGACGACACCATTAAAGCCAACATCTTTAACACATTTTTTGGCTCAGTATTTGTAAACAGCAATGGATCATGCCCAGTATTTCCTAGCCGAACCACAGATAACTACAATGATCTAATACATATCGATTTTACAGAAGACAATGTTGAAAAAGCACTACGCAATCTAAAACCATCTCTATCTATTGGACCGGATGGAATATGTGCCTATTTCTTAAAAAAGCTATCCACTGCCATAGCCAAACCTCTAAGCATAATCTTTGAAAAATCTTTCAGGACCAGTTCCTTGCCTAACCTATGGTCACAAGCCACAGTCATCCCCATCTTCAAAAAGGGAGACCCTTGCCTAGTTGAAAATTACAGACCAATCTCCTTATGCTGCGTTACCTGTAAAGTCATGGAATCAATTATTAACCAATCCATCATCCTCCACTTAGAGACAAACAACCTACTCTCCAATAAACAATTTGGTTTCAGAAAAAAACTATCCTGTAATCTGCAACTCTTACACTACAAAAACATATGGACTACACAACTTGATCAGGGCAAAACAATAGATGCAATCTACATAGACTTCTGTAAAGCCTTTGATTCAGTGATAGATGACAAACTACTCCTAAAAATAAAATCCTATGGTATCTCTGGACAACTGCATAACTGGATAGAAGCATTCCTGTCAAACAGACAACAAATGGTCAAAATTGGGAGCGTCCTATCAAATTCTGTACCTGTCAATAGTGGTGTCCCCCAAGGCAGTGTTCTAGGACCAACTCTCTTCATACTCTACATAAATGACCTCTGTGATCATATTAAGAGCAACTGCGTTCTTTTCGCTGATGATGTAAAGCTGTTCAATACCACAAACAATACTGCTACCCTTCAAAAAGATCTTGACTGTGTATCAGAATGGTCAAACAAATGGCAACTTCAAATCTCAACAAATAAATGCTCTGTCTTACATATTGGCAAAAAAAATCCGAAAATAAAATGCAAGCTGAATAGTCAAGATCTTGTTGATGATCCAAGCTCTGTAAAGGACCTTGGAATACTCACCTCTAATGATCTAAGTGCTAGAGCCCACTGCAACTACATAGCCAAAAAGGCATTAAGAGTTGTTAACCTAATCTTACGTAGCTTTTTCTCTGGTAATATCACACTACTAACTAGAGCATACAAAACATTTGCTAGACCAATACTCGAATACAGCTCATCAGTCTGGAACCCACATTACGTATCTGATATTAGCACAATTGAGAAAGTCTAGAAATATTTCACAAGAAGAGTTCTTCACTCCTCTACTCGTTGTAGAATACCTTATGCCACCAGACTTGAAATTCTAGAACTAGAAAACCTTGAATTACGCCGTCTTCGGTCTGATTTAAGCATGGTATATAAAATCATACATTACAATGTCCTACCTGTCAATGAATACTTCAGCTTCAACCATAACAACACAAGAGCACACAACAGATACAAACTCAAGGTTAACCGCACCAAGCTTGATTGCAGGAAATACGACTTCAGCAACAGAGTGGTCAATGTCTGGAATACTCTACCCGACTCTATAGTTTCTTCCCCAAACCCCAAAAACTTTAACCTTAGACTGTCTACTATTGACCTCACCCCCTTCCTAAGAGGTCTGTAGGGGGCGTGCATAAGCGCACCAACGTGCCTACTGTCCCTGTCCTATTGTTTCTTTTATTTTTATTTTATTTTTCTTATATGTACCCATTTCATGTATTCATAACTATGTATACACTTATACTTATTATCTTGTAAACAATTGACAAATAAATAAAATAAAAATAAATAAAAATTGCTTTGGGAGCAAGAGGGTATAATACCCAATTTTGGCTGATCCTAAAAATGTTAAGAAGGGTTGGTCCTTTCAATTTCATTGTACACATGTTGTGCATTGACAATAAATGTTTGTTTGATTGATTGACCTGGTTAATATTTTTGGATGAGAGATCACTGGAAAATCCTAGGTCTGTTTATTGGACAGGGAAGTCAGAACAAGAATGTCGCAATGCCAACTCTTCACAAGAGCCCCAATCCAACTGAAGCTGCAGAAAAGGGGGAAGATTCCATTCATCAGCTTTGTGGAAAGTCAAAACTTTGCTGCTCATCTTCTCTTTGCCATGCTAGGGGAAATTGTTATTTGTAGCAGCATTTAACTTTTGAGGAGAGATGATTCAATCATTATAATTGAGCGAAGCCAAGAAATCACATACGGGGAGATTGCTGCAAGGAATATTAAAAGAAACTAGATTAAGAATAAAATACAAATTAAAACAAAAACTTAGAAGGACTGCTTCTAAGACACTTGTGCCACTGGTTCTTAAAAATAAAACTGCAGTTCTGCTATTTTGGGGTTGTGTGTATGAGGACAACAAAAGAGATA